AACGACCAATGGATTGTAGAAGTCGAGCATGGCTCCTTCACACCAGTCGTCTTCAGCGCCTTTGGCGGATGCGGAAGAGAGATTCAACATTTTCTCTCCTTCCTGGGTGCAAAGCTTGCTGACAAGAAGAATCAGTCTTCATCTATGGTGATTAGCTGGTTACGTCGAAAGATCGCCTTTGCTTTGCTTAGAGCTCGTGTGGTGTGTGTTTGTGGCAGTCGAAGTCACATTACTTAATGACATCACTTTGTCGTGATGGAACTCGAACATTAGGGAGTCTAGTTAAGTTGTTTTTGTAAATAATCTGTAGAACTGTTATACTTAGTTTTAATGCGGTTAGATTATTGTAAATTTCCTAGTACTAATAAGCGTATATCTATTTTGAGTGCAATTACAGATTAACAAGCACGAGTGAGTTTTTAAAGGCTGCAAAATAGCGCGAGGCATGCAGCGAGCGGTATTTGCCGTCCGTTTAAAAACTCACGAGCGTGTGTTTATCCGTAATTGCATGAGAATTTATACTATTTAACAATTAGACAACGAGTCTGAGTTGTCTATGAGCGAATAGTCAACGAAGGCGAAGCCTGAGTTGACTATTCGCTCATAGACAACGAAGGAGAGTTGTCTAATTGTTTTAGTATACACCCTGTACCTAGATATATTAATTTCGAGAAAATAATCGATACACCGCAATTACACCGAAAAATAATTCAATTTTATACGGTCGCGCGAGCGAAATTTTTCCCAAGCGTGCACCATCACGAATAGACAATGGTTGAGTAGCCAATCAGAATGTAGGATTTGTAATAGACGATAGTCCGGTGTATACTAATACGTATTAATTAATGTTATGCAAGGAAATCGTCGAGACAACAAATTAATCATGCATCTCATCCATTATATGTCCTTGAACATTTTTTTTCGATTTTAATTAGTTTAACATTCAAAATATATATTTTTTACTTCGAAAAAGCTTGCCGTTTGCTCAGAAAAAATCGCAAATCGCAGTTAATGAGAAACTCCTTTTATGTCATTTGACTCTCACAACAACATCACACTTGCAAAATAAAATCCCTCGCACCGGCCGCTCGTGCACGCGCGCTTAGAGGAGCTTTCATCGAAAGTCTTTTCTCCACAGTCATCATAAATTGTCCTGATATATTTTATATATTTAAACAACTTTCTGTTTTGGCTAGAAAACTCGCAAAACATAACCAGCGCTTTTGGCAATTATATACCAGTGGGGGTTGAAAATCACTAACAGTGCGATTTGTCCGCGAGTGTGCATGAGCACAATTTAATTTGTTTCTGATTTTTTTCCAGGAGTTGACAATAAATTGTGCACATGCAAGTATATAAATACTTTTTATACAAGTCATATTTGTTTTCAAACAAAGAATAATGAGGTCGTTTAATACGTAAACTGATTGCGCACAACACCCCGGATAAGTCTGTCACAGACGCAAATTTCGCGCAGTTTCATATTCATTTTGATATTCGCGTTAAAATCACGCTGCTCGCGATAAAATGTTTATTTTGTTTCATGCAATAAGCTTTTCAATCAAAGTCATTCTTGTAGAGTATATGACGCATTCGAAAAATGTATTTTGAAGTTATTTCGCCAAAACACGAAGACCGCGGAAAACTTAAAAATTCAACGAGACTTACCTTAAGTTGAAGTTGGATTAAAATTCTACAAGTCATCAGCCAGGGAGTGAAAGAGTTGTACGAATTAATACGAGATAGTGCCGACAACTCACGGAGAACCAAACTTCATAGCTACCCTAATTTTTGCTCCATGCTGAGTGATAAGAGTTGTGGGTTGGGTCACAGTTATTTTATGGGAGGGCGTACAACTCTTTCACTCCCTGGCTGATGACTTGTAGAATTTTAATCCAACTTCAACTTAAGGTAAGTCTCGTTGAATTTTTAAATTCTACTACGTCATCAGCCTACGGTCGTTACAGAGTTGTACGAATTAATACAAGATTTCACAGCTAGCACGGAGCAAAATTTCGTATAAAGTAACGAGACACAAACGGTAAAAACATTCATCAATTATGTAATTACAATGTAGGATATATGTCTCAATTTTCTAGTTTACAGACTCCAGCAAGGCTGAGCCAAAATTAAATGCAGGTTTCTCTAACTGTTTATGGTAAAACGTTTGAAAAGTATGTTCATTTGACCAACCGACAGATTTCAATATGGAGGTGATGTCAATGTTATTGGCTACTAGATGGGAGGTTGATGCTGCTCTAGTACTATGTGTTTTAAACTTGTCAGTATCTACACCAGCACTGTTCAGAAATTGCTTGCACCAGCGAGAAATGGTTTCCTTTGTTACTGCACCATGAGGTTTCTGAAGACTAATAAGTAGCTGTTTACATTCTGGTGTACGGAGCTGAGCTGTTCGTTTTAAATATTCATTCAGGTGTTTAACCACACAAAGCTTTCCTTCTCTAGCGTAGCTGTTGAAAATAATTGGCTCAAGATGTGTACCAGGTCTGCTCTGTTTTACATGGTTAGAAATATAAAATTTACACTGTGTTTCACTAAGTTTCATGTTTTCAATCGATAGCATGTGAATAGTTTGACATCTTTGGCCACTTAACATTAACAATAAAAAAGTAAGTTGATGAGTAAGTTCCTTGAGAGTCATACTTTCTAACTCTGGTTTCGTACGAATAAAATTGAATACAGGGTTTATATCCCATATATCAGAATAACGTGGTAAACTTGGTTTTAGCTCAAAGATACCCTTCATGAACCGTTTTACTAACGGTTGTTGCCCAAATGGGGGTTCAGTTTGTAAGAGAGAGGATAAAGCACTTCTAGCAGTGTTAACAGAACTATAGGAATAACCCAAATCATATAGATTGGCAAGAAAATCTATTGCAGTTGGTATTGGGGCAGTAAGCGGGTTGCAAAACTTGTCTGTACACCATTTTATCCACTTAGTAAGGTATGTCTGGTATTGAACTTTGGTACCCTTCCTCCATGAAGCCATAATTACATTTACTGCAGACGAGGATAGACCTATGGATTCCACCTGTGTCCGGACACAAGACATATTTTTAGTTCCAGTTTCTGATGAAGTGGGTGGATTTCCGTCGGCCGGGACGGTAGGACAAGTGTTTGTTTGGAAGGTGGCAGAAGAATAGGTTGTTTGACAAGGACTTGTTCTAGGAGGGGAAACCAGGGTTGTGTTGCCCAATTGGGGACAACCAATATACCTTCTGCCTTCTCCTGAATGATCTTCTGCAACACCTGTAAAATGCAGCTGAAAGGAGGAAAACAATAAACGTTGGTGCTGTTCCATGATATGGAAAATGCATCAATGTGTAATGCACCTGGGTCAGGTTTGTAGGAGCAATATTTTGCAAATTGTTTATTTAACCTGGATGCAAACAAGTCAATATCTGGTTTGAAACCTAGCTTGGACAATGCATCATGTAAAAGGGGTGGCTGTAGCATCCATTCTGCACCTGTATACACACGGCGGGATTCTGCATCAGCTATAACATTAAGGCTGCCTGGTACATGTGCAGCAGTTAACCAAATTGCATTGTTGATACAGAACTCCCAAATTGCAACAACAATGTCATTGCCAGCCTCTGTATGGCTCGAGCCCATTTTATTAATCATATAAACAGCTGCACTGTTATCAATCATAACTTTAACATGTTTATGACTAAGTTCGCTCTAAAAAGATTCTAAGGCAAGTAAGGCAGCTTTTAATTCAAGGATATTAATATGGGATGCTGCCTCTGTACCTGACCAGTTCCCACCTGTCTTCTGAGAACCAAAGGCTGCACCCCAACCTTTCAATGAGGCATCCGAATATATAATTTCATCGATTTTAATAGCTTGTGTTATATGACCAAAACTTTTGTCAAGGTGGTTGTACCACCATTCCATTTCGTGTATACCTTTAGTTGATATACTCATAAATTTATCAAAGTTACCCTTACTGACTTTTAGAGCATTTGTCTTATCTCTATCAAGATTTCTGTAATAAAGTGCACCATGATGCACAGCTGGCAGACTAGCTACCATGTGACCTATAATTTTTGCCATAGCCCGAATTTTGATCTTTTGTGGTGAAGCCAAAGCTTCCTTGATAAGGTCTTTTAATTTTTCAATTTTTTCTTTTGTCAGAGTAATAGTCATAGTCTTAGAATTAATGGTAAATCCCAAGAATGTTAAGCTCTGGCTTGGAATGAAAACTGACTTATCAGGGTGTACAACAAACCCGAGACGTTCCAGTAGTTTCATGGTCTCAACAATGGTATGCATGCATGCAGCATAGGATGTGCCCTGCAAATATAAGTCGTCAATATAGGCAATAATAATATGGCCATTGAATCTAAGCCAGGCCAATGGTGGTTTTAAAAGTTTTGTAAACTTCCTTGGACAAGTGGATAAACCATTCGGAAAAACTGTGAACTTGAACAGTGTATTGCCATAGCAAAACTTTAGAAATTTTTGGTGTTCTTGGTCTACTCGCACACTATAGTAAGCATCTTTTAGGTCAATAGAGGCCATCCAGCAATTTTTTGAAACAAGTTTTAAGACAGTATGGATATTATCCATTTTAAAATGAGCATTAGCCACAAATGAGTTTAACTTCTTTAAATTTAGAATAAGGCGTATCTTATTATTTGGTTTTGGTACAGAAAAAATTGGTGAAATAAATTCACCTGGTACATGTTCCGCACTGGGCAATTACCCTTTTTTGAATAAGAGATTGTATCTCTTGATTAACAAGATTGTCATGAGCGTTACTAATTGGATTGTGGGGATATGATAATTGGGCAGGTGGCCCATTAAAAAAGTCTATTTTTGCGCCTGACACAGTTTGTAGGATTTCTGGATCGGATGTTAGCTCTGCCCATTGCTTGTAATGCAGTGAAATTTGTCCTGCCTGAAAAGATTTTGCTTTAGCCTGGAGTGATGGAATTAGTTTATCATGTACATAAGAAGGAATTTGGTCTACCTCTATACTCTCTAGTTCTTCTGAAATTTCTTTTTGTACTGGGTTATGTATGGTGCTGGTCTCCGGGGAGGATACGGTTTCCTCCCCCGCTGGGATAAAAAACGTGGCTGGCTATGGCTTTGTGTATTACCACTGTTATACTGTGAGGAAGAACCATTGTTGGTATTGAAACGGTGAACATTGTTGTTATTAAAACGGTTGTTAGATACAGTGACACTTTGCATGACTTTACTTGTATTTTTAATTTTTTGTGCTGTGGCAGGTAAATCAGTGCCAAACAGAAGGCTTTCAACCTTATTATCTCTAGAGCAAGCTTGTTTAAAATCATTGTGAAGAAATGGTTTTATCGAATCTCTGCGTTTAAAAGATAGCTCCTTAGAAACATGTCCAATGAGTGCAGTGGCATCTACCAATTTTGAAACAACCATTTTTAGGTCTGTTTGCCTTTTCATTTCATGACTTTGCATGATATCATTCAAAGAGCTCATTATAGCCGAAACACTGGTCTGTAATGTATCTTGCAGGTTGGCAAGTTTAATATCTTTTTTCCTGGTATACCCTGGCATTTTATACCATATTTCTGGGTTTACCTTTGGCACATATAGTTGCTCACAATTTTGAGGTCTTGGATGTTTTTGTAGGATATTTTTCAATTTTCCAGGCTCTAGTTCTACAATAAAATTTTTGTCTGTAATTTTTGCGAGTTTTTCGCTTATTGCTGGACCTTTATCGGTAGTTTCGAAAAGATCTTGCGAAATCGAACTCAAAAGATCATCTTCGTTATCTAAGTCGGAAATTTCGGCTTCACCCTCGCCGCCATCATGATCATATTCGCCTTCAGAGCCACCGAAAAGACTTAAAACATCGTCATTAATGGCATTTTGTGTATTGACATTGTGGTCATTTTCATTACTTTGTTGCCCTGACTTAGGGGCGCGTTTTGCCCTCTTTGTGGCAGATTCATCCCCGTCTTCGACGGGTTCAATTTCAAGTGCCCTCTTTGGAGCGTGTTGTGAGCACGAGATCGAATTGCCTTCTATCGATTCAACGAGTCTCGAAATTAGTGCATTGGTCTTTTCAATGCCGTTTTGCATCGTAGACACCATCGAGGCCATGTATTGTTCATGTGGTGTTGCTGTATGAATAGGCTCGGAGGCCTCAGCACTTTGGATTTCATCAAGCGAAGCGGTCTCATTGACCGACATGTTGTACAGATTTTCGCTTGAGTAATTCCTAAAGAAAAGGAACACAAAACAACAAAATACACTAATACTCAGCTGAAATGTTGACCAAAGGAATATATGCGTCGTTCAAAAACACTTCTTTCTTTCGGATGATCAAAAAACCAGCAAGGATGCGCGTTTTATTAAAATTTTTTCCCCGATCAGAATTTTACGAGTCTAGTCTCCGCGGGAAGCATGGCACAATTGGTTCTCCGTGAGTTGTCGGCACTATCTCGTATTAATTCGTACAACTCTGTAACGACCGTAGGCTGATGACGTAGTAGAATTCGCAGAAGCTGAATGACTTGCGGTTTGTGATCAGTGAAATACTTTTCGCTATTTCTCTTAAACTGGGAACGATATATCTTCCATACTGAATGTCATTGAGTATATGGATATAATTGTATTATTGAACTTTTACTTCGACAAAGCTTGCCGTTCACCTCAGAAAAATTCGATGAAATCGCAGTTAATGAGAAACGGTTTTTGTCATTTGACTCTAACAAGGTTCAACGAGTTGAAGTGTGAGACGCTGACCATCTCCAGGAAGAGAACTCCAGTGCGCCTTGGTTATAAAGTAGGTAGCCATGTAATAAAATTCACCACCAGCCAGAACGATCTTCGTGTCCTGGTGACGTTTGACCTGAAGTGGAATCTGCATATACATCGGCAGCGGTTGGAAAGGCTTACAGGATGCTGGGTCTGTTGAAAAGAAATACACATACCTTTAGTGAAGAATCCAAAAGATTGCTTTACTTGACTTTTGTGCGTCCTCACATCGACTACGCTAGTGAAGTATGGTCTGGAAAGGGTATACACCAGATGAGGAACATTTAAGGAGTTCAACGCCGGGCTACCTCTTACATATCCTCAGGACACCAAGGTTTTCTGCCCCTTACGTTTGATTGGAACAAACTTACTTCCAATCTCCTATTGGCATGAAATCAAATGTTTCTTCACGCATGTACCCATGGAAAATACAACATTGATCTCTACCGCTCTTGCTACTCTTCTAGTAAACAACCTCAGAAATTCCTGTCCGCTTAATCTCCAAGTTCCCCGATCTAGAACCAAATTTTTCCAAAATAGTTACCTCATTCGCTCTGCAAGACTCTGCAATAGCTTACCAAATTACCTGAAGCAAGTTCCTGTATATAACTCGTTCAAAAGAATGCTTAAGTCCACCTACAATACCGCTCTCCAAGACATTGGCGCTCTATATGTTTACGTTGCAACTCATTAAGATCTTTCTTTCGTGTGTGAGGTGTTTCACATGCGGTTTTGCGAAGATTATATAGCAACTTTTAACTGTCTAAATCGTTGTTTGGGGGAATTGAAGGTCGATTTTGCTTGGAGGGTCAGGAAAGTATGGAAATACAAAGTATGATGTGTATCACACACTTCATATTACCGACGGGATTTCGCCTAGAACTATATACAATCTGTACATGCCGCCATAAATGCGGTTTCACCTACTTGTATTGAATATTTCTTTGTTGATTAAAATAAATTGCACAAACTATTTATTAACCCTCTCACGATGTTTCTAACCTCTGCTGTATTAAAATTTAAAACACTTACTGAATATATTTCAATGTTACAACAAGACGCCAATTCTGGCGGTTACTGCGTCGCGCCAATCGTTGCATGCAACTGTGCCCCATTTCCTGTCAATATTTATTCCTTTAGGCTTTAGAAAAATGTTTCTTTCCTAGGTTTTCTAGTAAATAGAGCACTTCGTACAGAATATACGGGTAAAACTGCATTATTGGTGCTAGGCATATGTAGCTAACGATATACGTGAATAAGGCTGAGTTTGGAATCATGTACTCTGGAAATCAGTTTGTACTGAAATTCAATAGGATCGGTCTGGCCGTTTTTACCCTTGAAAGGAAAGTGCGGTTTGATTGAAAAATGGCATAGAATGGCATACAAGGCTTTCATAGCATACAAGGCTTTCATGATTCATGTGATCGTTGTCGTTAAACCCGTTTTAGTGTAGGTTTACCATGATCAGTGTGTGCTAGTGTATGCAGAATGAGCATATCAAACAAGACAAGTCGAGAATCCAGCATTATGATTACCTGTACGTATTTTCTCGAACGACAGACGTCTAGATTTCCTGCGCTATCGGCCATGCACAGCGACTCGTGTACGTGTTATTTTATATGACGTGTATCGTGCATGCAGTTTCCTGCTTTTGGTTCGCACGACCCGAGTTCGAATCCCGGCGACAACAAACTTTTTCCATTTTTTTTGTTTTAGTAAAATATTTCTTTAGTGGGGGTTACAAGGCTTAGATTGCTATTTGAAGTGTGTTTAGCACGAAAATATTTCGATACGAAATCAAACAAGTTCAAAATACGAGTATCTTAGTTGGCCTGCGCGGCCAGGTAGACCGGGTCGAAAACGTAAAAAACACAAAAAAACCCGACGGCAATTTAAGACTGCGTTCGCGCAGTGCGCGACGCAGTAATAAACCAAGTTGCAAATTTGTCGACTACAAAACACGAACTACAATGTTTACATAGGGTCAAATTACCTACGGGAGCTCGCAAAGAACTAAACACTTTGTATATATGCCGCCGCGTTAATGCGGTTTCACCTACTGGAAGATTTTTTTCCTTAGTCGATGCGCATAAACTGCGCAAACCATAAAAATTACAGTTCTCTCACGATGTTTCTGGGTTTGAATTAAAGGAATAAATTAGAGTCATATATCGTGGGATCTCAGTCAAGTGGGATAAAAATTTTCCATATAAAAACGGGATAAAAACAACCGCACTTTTCGATCACACACGCTTGCTTGGCAAAGGTGGGATAATAAGTGGGAAATAGGCAGGATGAATTGCATATGAAACGACTATCAAACTCACCTCAGCAAGCCGAGCTGTCCCGGCTAACCGGGCTATCCCGCCCAATATGAACAGGCCCATAGATTGATTTCCTTCATCGATTTGCATAAACTACGTACACTAACATTAAAATGCTCTCACAATGCTTTCATACCTAAACTAAGAGTAAATCAAATTGTATAAATTTAATAGTGGAGTATATGTACCGAAAATCGCCATTTTCGCTGCAGTTTTGCCTTTCATAACTGAATATATCAAAAACAACGCAACGGGAGTTAATCACTATCCAAAAACAAACCGCCATACTTAACTTGGTTCGACCTCGTCCAGTTCAAAGTGATTTTCGGTTTGTTGAATTTTATTAAGCTTAAAAGTTCAAGAGTACAAAAGCGTCAAACGAAACTTACAGTTATAAACCTAAATCTATAGATTAACGACCATATGAAGCGTATTTATGCTTCAGTGGTTACATTGTGTGTATGTGTGTTTACCTCCTTTTTATCTATTTAGGAGTCATTATTTTTACGATTACACCATGCAGGTCTCTGACTCTGTGGTCTGCGACGACCGGAACATCGACACTGCCAGCCTTCGCCGCCTCTGGAGCAGGAAGTTCGCAGGCAGTCTGAATACTGATAGCCACTGCAATCACAACGTTGTTTACAAGTCTGTGATGCCCCGGACTTTGACAGAGGAGCAAGTCGAAGGCATTCGAACCTTGAAGGGAAGCATTGGTCTTTGTTGGGCCACTGACCTTGGGCCAACGTAGCCATTACGACCACGCCAATTGCCATAATCATTGCCACTGAGATTTTCATCTTGAAAAATATCTGGAGGCAACAAAAAGAGATCATGATAAAATTATCGTAGTTTCCATTGAATTTTCTTTCATCAGAAAGAGGCTCGCGGCTGCTGTCTAATAGGCAATTGTCTACTGGTTCTGAAGCCCTGCATTGAACACAAAATAAGGAAATTGTTGCTCGCGTTGAATGTAAATATTCCCCAGACCTGTAATTTCCCCGCCCTTTCTTAAATTTTAAACGCCGTAAGATTAATTCAAAGGAATTTTAGAAGAGCCAGTGTCTATTGTACGTGCTGTAATGGATTAAACAACTTAATTTGAATTCATTGGAATCCGTATACTTTGAATTTATTCATTCATAAAAGTTATACATAAATTTAACGACATAAAACATTAAAGATATTCGTGAATCGTGATCCATAAAATCTAAAATACTTGATTTTACTGAAAGTGATTGATCGTTATATGAACGTTATCTGCAAGGCCTAGCGATTATGATTAAAGACGTAATAGTATTTATCGCACACCGTACGTACGTCTAGTAGGAGGCGATACGGCTATAGTATTTTCAATTCACGTAATGTATGCCCACCTCAAAATCTTTATCCTTTCGGTATAAAATTGTCTGTTTGAAGACGGTCGGTATACTTGTCTGTATCTCAAATTAAATGATTGGTTTCGTGTGTGCAAGCTTGTTTTGTAATCTAAGTTGTTGATCACGGTCTTTCGAAACCTGCATGCTTCCGCCTTCCGTTTCAGCACCGTACTTAATGCAATTGTATACGGGCCTGGATAATTGATGTCTGCATGCTAAATGGCAAAACCATGCAAGTAACTGCGAAAATTCTAATACATATAGTTCAAATATTTTAAGTAAAATCTTGCACTGTGCACATGTGATGCCGGGTGATGTATGGTGGAGATTTTCCCGTCCGGTAAGACAGGATTTATCGATGTTTTTGTTCAACGTCTGAGTGTTGTTATTGCAGATATGCTTGAATATTAAATTACGTTAAAAAATGCTGAACAATTTCCATGACAACTGGAGACAGTGTGGACTTAAGACATTGTGCAGTCCTGTTTACCTCGAAATCTCTGCAAGTCAATGCTATTTAATTTTAACGCGTATATATGCATGTCTTACAGTTAAACTTTTTAAAGTCTTCCATATTTGCATGGCAATGTAAACGAATGGGAAAAAGCGTAAAATATATATAGACTTCCGTAGGGCTTTAAAGAGGACGACTAGACTTTCAAATCGTATGTCTGGGAAAAACCTCACTTAAACGGGGTTTACGTCTTTACGTTGCGTGATACAATAAATGCAAATAAAGCAAATATACAATTTCGGTCAATGCAGCCCAGAACATTGGTGTCCGACTGTCCGTTAGAAAGGTTTGAACGGCTTGTGTCAACGGGAATGGTTGAGCTAATTTGTTTGTCGAAGTATGTTAATCATTATGCGTGGGTTTCCCATGCAGCCACATTCCCTTCCAACAAACAGAGTGTCGCTTGGGCGGCTTGTGGCCATGGATTGGACGTTATACCCTACTTTTATCAAATGTTTGTACTGTTTTATGAGAACGGGGAACGGCCAAAACAAGTTTTATATTCAGGAACTCCGGGTATTTTATCTAAAATTCGTGTATTTTATGACCTATTTCTTAATAATCGGAATAGCCCTATACAACTCTCCAGAACTCTCCTGTAGTTATTGGCAATTTAAGTGGGTTTAGTTGGCAGGTAGACTGCAACCGGAATATATCAAAACATTTTGATATTTGCCGATTAAAATCGGCTGATTAAAATCGTAGGGAAAAATCGTGTCGTATATATGGGCATGGCTTTAGGAATTACATTTAGTTCCATGGGTATACTTTTTCCATTCTCTCAAACATCAACTTAATTACCGTGACATTTTGATAGATTGAAACCAGCAGCAATTTGACGCATGGTGCGTTTTGAGGTTGCATATTTTAAAAGATATATATCTGCATGCAGACGAACGTCAAGGGGCGATTGCCAAAAAATTTAGATAGTACGAATTACTACGAAATCGATGACTAATAATTTGCTGGCGTTTACTCTTGTCGCGAAAGAAGATTCGGCAAGTTCCGTTTCAGCTCCGAATTCTAAAGTTATTGTTTTAACAATGCCGCGATGATAACATAATAATAATTGCGGCACTTGTTATAACTCTAAGCGCGATGTTATAATGATCATAGCCATGCATCATTTTTTTATTGATTGATTGCTTTATATTGTACACTGCATGTTATCGGAACATTCAAGCTTTAGTTACTTTATATAAAACTATCTTGTGGCTACATGTGCACGAGTTGCACGAAAATCAAACAGTTTATGCTATGCATGTATGGTCTTTTACTCTTTTACGGCGTTTATTAGCCTCAAGTTCTGACTCTGACACAGATTACGACATGACGGAATGCAGTTATAAGAAAAATTTGTAAGATTTGAGCAAGTTCGGGTAACAACGATTATTCAGATTATTCGTAGTTACTTTCATATATGAAGCACGATGCAAAGTTTTCTGAGACTTCGTCTAAAATTTCATTACCAGAAATCATGCAGGAGAATCTGTAATGTCTCATGATGCTGATGTCAGTGATGTGCATGTATGTTCCATATTAATTACTGCGTCGCGCACTGCGCGAACGCAGTCTTATAAATTGCCGTCGGTGTTTTGTTTTTTTTTTGTGTTTTTTACGTTTTCGACCCGGTCTTCCTGGCCGCGCAGGCCAACTAAGATACTCGTATTTTGAACTCGTTTGATTTCGTATGGAAATATTTTCGTGCTAAACAGACTTCAAATATTAATCTAAGCCTAGTGTTGTTGTCGCCGGGTTTCGAACTCGGGTCGTGCGAACCAAAAGTAGGAAACTGGATGCACGACACACGTCATATAAAATAACACGTACACGAGTCGCTGTGCATGGCCGATAGCGCAGGAAATATAGACGTCTGTCGTTCGAGAAAATACATACAGGTAATCTAATGCTGGATTCTCGTCTTGTTTTGTTTGATATGCTCACTCTGCATACACTAGCACACACTAATCATGGTAAACCTAAAACGGGTTTACAGACAACGATCACATGAATCATGAAAGCCATGAAAGCCTTGTATGCTTTGAAAGCCTTGTATGCCATTCTATGCCATTTTTCAATCAAACCGCACCTTCCTTTCAAGGGTAAAAACGGCCAGACCGATCCTATTGAATTTCAGTACAAAACTGATTCCCAGAGTACATGATTCCAAACTCAGCCTTATTCACGAATATCGTTAGCTATAGAAATGCCTAGCACCAATAATGCAGTTTTACCCCTATATTCTGTACGAAGTGCTCTATTTACTAGAAAACCTAAGAAAGAAACATTTTTCTAAAGGAATAAATATTGACAGGAAATGGAGCACAGTTGCATGCAACGATTGGCGCGACGCAGTAACCGCCAGAATTGGCGTCTTGTTGTAATCTGAATATCGTAAATAGTTATTTTATTAGGAACTTCACGAAAAAAGGGGAAAAAGTGCGTATATTGGTTTTCTTTATGTGGACTAACCGTCCAAATTGTCGAATACATTTACTCGGCAGATAATCCATGTGACGCATGATAAATTGTTATAACGACATTAAATATTTTTTTTAATTCACAATTAAATCTTTCTAAGTCAGGCCGGCGAACTTTGTATTACCTCTTTTTGGACTAAAAAAGACTGCGTTTCTTGGGTCCATCCATAATAATTATTGAAAAATTGACTAAAATTCAGAACAATTGGACTACAGCGATGATCGAGCAGATAGTTTCAGTTAAGATCGAGGCTCGTGAAAAAAAGTGATGAGACTTATGGGTTCGTCTCGCATATGTGACAAGAGGAATTACAACACGATTACGTGGAGCTTAGTTTGCTTACTTAGATGTGTTCAAAGGATATTATTTAGCGGCCATATGTATAATTTCTATGAAACTTTATATTATTATCGACAATATTATTATTAAACTCTAAATTGTCATATATCCATAATATTCTAAGAATGATGGGTCATTAAATGCAAATCAGAATGAACGGAAATCATTTCACGACTTCGACAAGAAAAATTACAACACAAATATACGTATACAGAGTGCAGCTTGTTTACTAACTTTGTTCAAAGGATATTATTTGGTAAATTTCGTGTTCGGTTTGTCGTACAAGGATTTCAGGATAAAATTATTAATTTTTGTAAACTAAACATTGATTTGTGGGCGGGGGATTGAGTGCAATGAAGATAGGAAAAAGCAAGTGTCTGAACGAGTGAGCGCTCTTGAGGTTTGACAGTGGCTTCCACCGCAGTCACAATACTCGTATTTACATAATTTTATTTACTGCACCATTTGCAGTTTCAATGAAAATCGATGCATTCATTTAACAGCGGGGTGTCACCTGTTGTAAAGTAAGTCAGTTATGTATTAGGAATGTCAGGAAAAAAGTGTGCATGGTCATTATTCATATTAATTAAATAAAATGTTTTAATAAAATAATACACGTAAGCATAGACATTGAACTAGAATCAGTGAATACTTGAGTGACCCTTCCTCCTCATCTCACGAGCAGTCGCAAAAGTGTATTGACCTTTATCATTATAGTAGGTCGGCATAATAATTGTATTCAACAAATATTCATTATACACATTTGTATAATTACCTTTATATTGCGTTATTAGCGAAGAAATTTAACTTATATTTCGCACCAAATATGACTTTCAATAGATTGCAAAATATTTATAAAATCCGAGAAAATTGATATTCTCGAGCGATGAACAATTATTCGACGGTATACGGATGTGCTAAAATTGATGTGAACAACCACATTAGCGTATTTTTTTGTCAGTTAGTATATATAAGTTATATAATATAAAAATATGATATATATTTCAATATATAAGAATAATTATTATAATCGCCCTTTATATTGCGCATGCTGTAGAGTAAAAACAATGGAGTTGTGTAACCAAAAAAGACAAAAATTGCCTCGTTAGAAATTTGGACAATCCTGCAATCTCTGTCAATCATTGTTCAAGGGGATAAAAAGAATTCTCGTCACACGAGTAAATAATTATACACACATGCAGAAAGAATAGAGCAATAGTCTATTGTTACTCTATGATACCGAGTTCCTCTGTGGTAGCTTAAAAGTATTCAGTTAATTTTGTCCAGCTTAATATTGCGGTCAGTGCAGAAAAGCACACAAACAAAGAGTTTCGAAGCCACCACGCGCTCTCTCACCGCAGTCGGAAAAGACGTATTGAACTTTAGGTATCTAAGGTGACTGTAATGAACGGAGATGGCAAGCGTTTGAAAGAGAGTCAATACTTGAGACGTCGCCGCTTGACCGACCCCGGACGGGAAAATCATCTTGACTTTCGCTATCGGGGATATACCTAGCACTTAAAATTCATCAAAAACTTTTGCACAACATAATATATCAAATGAAATGTATCTCATTTAGACTGATTTATACTTTACCTTTTATACTTTATATATAAGTTCTTCTATGTCTTCTGTACAGATCAAAATCATCAAATGTGCATATATGTGAAATCTGTAATACCTTGGCCAGATGCAGGCTGCCGCTAGTGAATGTGTAAATCTATATTTCCGTTGCCGTTGATCATGGTGACCTTCCTTTTGTCCTATTGCCTAATGATACCCGAAAGCTTTGCGGTATTAAATTTTGCTGTA